TCAAAGATTTTAATTGGCAATTATTTTTTTACTTAATAATATAAATATTATTATTAAAAACTATTTACTTCATTAAATTAATTGCCCGATATTTACCTATCTACCCACCAGCTAATTCAATGCTTATCATATTATGGATATTTGACATTTTTAACATATTTAATTTTCTTCTATACATTTTTGATATACATTTTTCCTTCGACCAAAAAACTAACCAATTTAATATAAGATTTCATATAAAAATTGTTCTAACAAAAATTAAAAATATATTGAAACAATTTTTTACTATAGTTATTTTAAGTTCAAATTTTAGTAAATTTATTAATTATTTTATGTACCTATAGATAAATATATACCTATAATCTATATTATATATATCATTTTCAAATTATATAGCTAAGGTTTAATAATTTAATAGGTTCTTGTAATTTATATTCGTAATTCGTTTCTATAAAAACAAAAACCTAAAAATTTCAAAAATATATTTTTATGAATGATTTTATTTTTAGCAAGGTATATTAAAAATGTTGACAAAATTGGATAATTTTAGCTATTTTACTGTATTTAAAAAATTTAAATCCTAGGGACTTAAAACTTATTGCCGTTAAGTATATTTTTATTATTTATACGAATAGCTACAAATATTTCAAATTATTTAGACATTTTGTTCTTAACTTTATATACAACAAACATATACAGCAGGTAAGTCTATATTAACTTATAAGTTAATAACAGCTAGTAATATTATAGGAAATAATATTATAGTAATTAATACAATATTTATAATAAATCCTAACAAAATGCTTCGAATTTTGACTTCAAAGATGGTTTCTGATAGAAAATCAAATAAAGTTTGTACTTTAGAAATTGCAGTTGAATTTTGATAAAATGTAATTTTTATACGAGTGGCAAGGTTTGAAAATAAAATTTCTCATAATTAATTCATACTGATATCAAAAAATCTAAACACAATTTTTTTACTATAGACATTTTTTAATTTAAATTTGGACAAGATTAAATATTTAAACAGTGAATATGATATTCATTATTTTGTTATAATTTTAAAATATTATTCTCCAAACTTTTACGTATATTATGGATATTACTTAATGCAAAATATATGCAGAATTATTTTGAAATATTACGTATTAATATGCCATGAAGTAATTTCACGTGATTTATAAATATTAATTATGTAATAATAAACAAAATTTAGTCAATTTTTTTGACTAAAAAATAAAAATAAATCAATCTTCCATAGTAGTAATAGTAAAAAATTACTTTAATAGAAATATCAAAAAAAATATTATCACGAAAAGTACTTAAAGTTATAGGCTGATAGATCAACTATTACAGTTGACCACTTTCCCACCTTTTTACTTTTTTTTGTTTGTAATATTTTGAATACATTCCATTTTCATAAGTGGTCATTTAATTAATAAAATGTTTTAGTAAAAAACCTAAGAACTAATTAGTTTTATTATTTTGTCGAAGTTATTTAAATATAATATTTTATAACCTGGAAATTAATTTCTATTAATTTCACTCATTAATTTGTTAATTTAAATAGAAGCAATAAAGCTAAGCGAAATAACGATGATTATGTTTATAAATTATTATAAAAATTGTACAGTTGTATTTATTTTTTTCTTTAAATTTATTATTATTGTAACATTCATATGCTGTTTAAATAAGTCGTTAAGTTGTATTATGCACTGATACCGATTAACTAATTCATAGGTAAATATTTATTTTAAAATTATTATTTATTAAAACTTTAATTTAGGTACGTTATTATACGTTTAATAATCTAAAATTACATAAGTACCGTAAAGTTAATATTTGTATTCACATTTTATAGCTTATTATCATTTGAAAATCTTAAACTTATGTTTCTGCCTTATTTAAAAAAATGAATTGACATCATTATTATTGAAATAAAAAGTTATAAATTATAAATTATTGTCTCTAGATCTCTTGATCGAATGTCAACATTTTCCAACGGTCAATCAAAATACCAAGAATTTCAAACTGAGGTCGTTAATCACCTTGAACAAGATCAACAAAATAATGCTGAATTGAAAAATAAGACAGAAAAAGTAAAGGAAAATAGAAAAGCAGGTTGTAGTTGGACTCCAATTTCAATGATGCTATTCGTTCATCAAATTGAAATTTTCTATAGCTGATATTAGCGACACCGTGCGTAAATTTATTACAAAAGCGCTAGATTACTTTACAACTCAAAATGCCACGACAGCTTGTCGTTTTGTACAGGGTTTATTCCAGACCTTCTATCCCGGGGGCAGGGGGGGGGGTATCGTACATTTTCAAAGGGGTAAAATAAGACAAGAACAAATATTTATGTTATTATTAGTAGTAAGTCTTACATTTTCTGAGAGAGGGGATGGGTAAAACCATACCAGCCACCCTCCTAAAATAAACACTGGTATTGAACAAATAATATTTATGTATGTAAGAATATTTATACCTATCTTAAAATTAACTCTGTTTATATTTTTATTTTTAAATTTATATAATATATACAATCTGTAAAACTATATTTACAATAAGAATATGAGCTATGAATAAAAATTACATGTGAATTGCACGAGAAAAAAAGTAACCCAGCAGTAATATTTTTATTTGATTTTTTTAAAAAAAATTTTAAATACAAATACATACATATATTTTAATATATATTTTGTTTTTGACTTTGATAAAGGATTATGTGCTTAGGTCACGACAGCATCTTCTCTTAAGCCTCCTTTAGGGGTTTCCGGGTATTGATGTCTGAGTCAAGTGCTGAGATTAGTGGGTTAGGGTGATTTTCTAGACATGAACGGTAACGTAGGTTAGTTTGTATTTAAATAAAAAAAATATCACTAAACGTTGGTATTTTTTTTTATCGTTACGTCAACATTCGCCAGTGGATATAGCTATCGCCTATCCGTACGTTATACTAACACACACTAACACTTTTGATGGATGGTGACATACACTTTAACACAATATTTATAACTTAAAAAGCGTCAAAATATTTTATGATGTATGGACAATTTTAATAAAAATACTTGGTGACAATTTTGAATACGTATATACGTTTATTTAATTTTGAGTAAGGCCAATAAAACAAAATCGATTTTCATAAAGTTCTAATTTTATATTAATTATTTTTTCCGATTATTTTAAAAAATACTGAGAGTTTTCAATTTTTTTCTCTTAAAAATATTAAATAGATTTAATTTGATATCAGAAAGTAACCTTAATGTTAAATATTGAAGCATATTTTATTGTATATCGTGTATATATTTTTATTTATTTAAAACAGAAAAAATATTTGAATAAATTATACAGAAAAAAAATAATATATATATAGTTTAAAATGATTTATCCATATCCTGTAAGCGTTGTTCATGTTGAGTGTTGAATAAAGAAAATTATACAATACAAATTTAATAATAGGTTTCTACATAGATAAAATATATCCCTAATAATCTATGCAGATTTGATAACTGCATAGCGTGGAAGAGCAAAAACAAAGTAGGTATAAATAAAATAGTCTCAAGAACAGTATAAAATAATATAATTATGTTTAGTAAATAATAATATTAGTAACAAGTTTTTAAATATTCAAAACATTTTCTTTTTTTATTTACAATCAATTATTTACATTTTTTTTCGAATATTTTGACATCATACATACCCATATAAATATATATATTTGTTTCATTATGTATAGAGATAAAAAAAAAAAACATCTTTGTAAAATCAATACGTTCATTGCTCCGCTGAGAATTTAAACATCTTCTTGAAGTTTAGTCTTCACGAATATTCAAGTATAAAATATAATAATATCGTAAATATCCAAACATAGTCAAAAAGTATATGAATAGAAATCGATTTTACACGCGGGTTCGTGTTTTTCGGATAGAAACCATTAAAAAGTTTCGTGAAGGATACACGATTATAATAATTTATAAGACTTCGACGGATTGTGCGATATAAGATTTAGGGTCGATAATTATTGTTGTAAAAAAAAAAAGTAAAAAATTAGTAGGTACTCGTCATTTAAATTCTACTCGAAAATGCCCACTTTTTTGTGTACACGCGTGGCCCATACGAAACGAACCATGGTTACGGTGCCCGTGTGAGAAAGACGCGTCGGACTGGTGTGTGGGCACGTAGGTTACCTATATTACCTACGGCTGTCAGTTACATTTCCCAGCGCATTGCTAATCCACTGCCACTGTATTAAAATACTAACAACAATATGTGCGCCACACGTAGGTATGATATTACTCCCCGACGAATTCCGAAATCCGTTCGTAAAAGCCCCGGTAAGATATAAAGCCGCCATCACTCGCAGGACAGGCAAAAACGTTGGACTGCGAGTGATTTACGAGATCGGAGCCGTGTGCACGTGCACGTCCATAAATGTGTATACATGTTACATAATATACATAATACATAACTACGCGGCGCGTGGTAACAAAAATATGCTAAGATCAATATTGCACGCACAAGTTGCTCCGCGCCCGAAGTTTGCCGAGGTCTCGCGATTCCTGAAATTTACCCGATACGTTACGCCGCGGCCGACGGTTACTATCCGTACGGCACACACACGCGCGCACACACACACACACACACACGTACACACACGCATACACACACACACGTACACACATACACACACACACACACGACACACGCGCACACACACACGCACACAAGCACACACACATACGCACACCCGCGCGCGTATATACCGTCGTCATTACGTCCCGACCGGCGCGCCCCACCGCGGAACACGGCGAACGACCGCGCCGCCGTCCCGCGGGCGTCGTCGTCGCGCTCCGCGTCCGAAACGCCAACGGCCAGCCCACCCTCCCGTCCAAATTTCAGATCCGACCCGACGATCTTGTGCATTCCGGCGGCGGGGCGGAGGACAGCCTCGACACGGTCCGTCCCCGTCACCGTCACTATCATTTCACGTACCATGCGGGCCGAACGCGAGTTCCGTCTCAGTCGTACAACGCTATTATTATTATTATTATTATTATTATTATTATTATTGTCGCTGACGCTATCATTGCACGTGGTCGCGACGAAGACGAAGGGATGATATGTCTTGGCGACGATCGCGCCGATAGACCTACCGACCACTAGCCCACCGGTCCTTCTGCCGACCGTCCTTTCTGTAAACACCCGCCCGCCGCCCGCCGCCCCTGAAGTCTACACCCTCCCCAATTTTGCCGCCCGCCATAGGTGGTTGATTTCTCGGTGGCACGCGCGCGACCACGACGGGTTTCGAAAGATCCGACGGCGGCGGATCCGTCGAGTCCTACCCGTGCCACGGCGTCCGAATCTCGTGCTGTGCACGCACCGCGAATGAAAACGGTAAGTGAAAGCGATAAGTACCTACTGCTTACCTAATTCGTATGGGCGCAAATAGGAAATTAAATCGACTAGTGTCAACGATCTCTTTTATCATTTCGACAATTCATTCAGAACAATTTTAAAAACAAATTTTATGGACACATAATCAAAATATAAATTTAATACATTTGTAGATTACATGGATTTTATACCTAACACGGGGGAGAGAGCTAGAACAACTATAATTATCTATTTGCGCCTGGTCGCGGTACTATTAAGAATAAACAATTTATTGTAAGACTTTACCTGTGTATAATGTAATATTTTTACTATTTTCTTACAGAAAATGTAGAAATCCAAGAATTATTGATAATATGAATTTAGGCGAATTGTTTAAATGGTATTTAAAAATCTTTAAGTTTGTCCTGGCTTATTGAAATCCTAAACTCAAATTTTTATTTTTCATAAAACAGAATTCGAAATTTTACATTTTAACATATGGATAATGTAATTAGTAATTACAAATATAAAATAAAAATGTAAGTAATTAACAGTGTAAGAAATTAACATGCCTTGCTTATTTATTTCTGTTTAATTAGTTATTAATAATAAAAAATAACTTTTAAACATTTGGATGGACATCGTTATCAATTAGATATATATTTTAAATTAAACAATTATCAAATTAAAATTTTGGCTAATCTGTGTTAACAATTTTTTAAACAATCATTTTATTTTTAAATTAAGTAATTTCGATATTAAATAGGTAAATTTTGAAATTATTTAAGGATCTATTAGTCTGTTATTTGTAATTGCATTTTTGGTGACTGATGGAACATTGCGATAAGATTGGGTTTTGAAAAAATAAAAGCAAGGAATTGAAGAATAATCAATAGTAATTTCTATGATTAGAAATTTAACTTTTGAAAATTTAAAAAATTCTCTGATTACGAATATATTTTGGTTTTATTTCTTTATTTGGTTATAATTTAAAAACAAATAATTATAGAGAGGTACTTGAAATTTTCATCAAGTATTTATATTATTATTTTCTATACATGGTATAATATTAAAAATATTTTTACCTTTTTTAAGCTATTTATGGACAATAATTGAATATTTCAATTTTCTTAGTTTTTTTTTATAAATGCCAATTATAAAATATTCGCTGGGGAAAAATGGTTGAAAATTCAATACAAGGATCTCCAACAATTTTTATTAGTAGTAATAAAATAATGTTAAGTGTAAAACCATAAAAAAATGTTTAAGTCTTAAAAGTTAGATTTTTAACAAATGTTGTTATAATAGCGAATATCAGAAACCTATTTTGTTGTTAAACAATCAATTTTTAATATGACCATACTTAAGATTTTAAAATTGAATACAAAGTTATTTTTAGGTTTTTCAGCCTATGTTTAAAATAATACGTCTACTAGAAAGTCAAACAAATATTTTACGAGCGTTTGAACTTTCATTTTTACGGCATTACATATTTAATAGTAATATAACAATTTTTTCTCAAATTATTTTTGTTACATTGTTGTATTTTGAAAACGAATCATAATAGATACTTGAAATGTGCATTACCTATGTTTGTTTATATTATCATTTTCTATCAATAATATTAATATACTTTTTACATTTTCAAAATATTTTGACTCTTTAAGTTATGCAAAGCCATGATTTTTTTTTTAGTTTTTTTTTTTTCCATAAATTTCATAAAAATTTTTTTTGTTAAATCAAAATTTAAAAAAATGTAGTACAAGATCTCACATAAGTTCATATATTTATATAAAAATATTAAATTACACTGGCACAGTAATATTTTTACGGGGATTTGAAATTTAAATTTGGACAAAATGACATATTTAAACGATGAATTCATTAAAATCGCAAATAATTACTAACTATAAATATTTTGTGATAAAAAAAATTATAAAATCTTCAATTTTTATAGCAAAGATATGAAAATGTAATACAATATTTCTCATAAATATTTCATACTAAACAATCTTAAAATACACAAACAATTTTTTTTTATAATTTACTTAAATTTTAAATTTGGATGAAATTACGTATTTTAATGATGAATAACGATGTTTATTAGTTTTTTGTGATTTAAAAACGTTATTCGTTGGGACTTATACGTATATAATAAATTTTATTAAACGCAATGACCTTTTAAAAATATGTAAATTAATTTTAATATATTACCTATTTACACCATGAACCTAATTCTACACTTTTTTACCTTAAGGTGCTATTACTTAAAAGTTAATAAAAATTACAAATGCATTTAAGTATAAATTATATTTATTATTACTATACAAATTGTAAATTAATTGTATAATAAACGCAATGTTTTTGGCAAAAATTAAATTAGCGTACCGTAACACCACAAGAAAAATATCATTAAATGTACTTACTTAGTGTCCAATAATATAGGCTGAGAGACCCTCTTCGCTCGGCAATTTTAAGGTTTAACTCGAAATAGCTATGTATAATGTTTGTAAATTAACAATAAAACAATATTGCATTAAGCTTAAGTCATTTGCAGTTTATACGTTGTGTATATTAAATTAAGTGTCAAGTTCGTCAGTTCGTTATTTTAAGATTTTTAGCGAATTGAAGCTTATTTCAATACGTAATAAAGGCAATACCTGTTTCATATTTAAATTTTAAACTTTTATAATTTTTTCATGAATACTCAGTAAAACTTTACGTGTTACACGTAAATAACGATATTATATGCAAACAAGATAAATCCCATAAGTGCTGTACATGGTGAACAGTAAAAGTTTAAATAAACGGAAAAAAGTTTGTGAAAAAAAATTATTAAAAAAATAAATATTTATTTATTATTTATTATTTTTATAACTGCATTCACATTAGAAGATTGTTTGGTGACTTATTTTGCTGAATATCTAACATTCAAATACATAAGAAAATTTAACTGTGAATATTGTAAGGATCAATTTATTATTATAAAAAAAAAGATTTAAATAAAAGTAATCAAACATTAATTATAAACCAAAATTATTCATAAATGGGACTTAAAACAATGTTGAAAGCATTTTAATATATAAATTATAATACTTAAAATATTTAAAAAATAAATGTTGACAATGTGAAGTATAAAAAATTAGAGCATGGGTTCTCATTAATGCTGATTCTGTGAATATAAATTATATATTATAGAACAACTTTCAATTTGTAAAATATTTAAAAAAAAATTAAACATTGTGCAATGACATTAAGATAATAAAAAATTTAAAAAAAAATTAAGTCACAGTTAGAATAAACACCTACAATTCAAAGTTAATTTTTTAAATTGATTTAAGTATTTATATTTATATTAACTATTTGTTTTTATCATTCATTTAAATTTTAATATTATAACATAAATGGCAATCATTGCTTATTTATTGTTTCAATTCTATTCCAGGTATTCTTTTTAATGATATCAATACTATTTACAGTGCCTCTTGTTGTGATTTTTCATCCGTTAATAATGAAAATAGATTGTGATTTCACCGAAAATATAATTTTATACGACATAAAATAGTCAAAAATATCTACCTACAACTAAAATAAAGAATATTTTTTAAAAAATTTTTATTGATTTATTTACATCAACAACATGACGTGTTATTAGCGTTATTAAAGTTAACATTTTTTTTTTTTAATCGCTTATTTTGTTTCTTTTGTTTCTTAGATATATTACTAAATTTGTTTATATAATTATGATTTTTTTAGAAAATGTATTACTTTGTTTGACATTTGTGTTTGGGGTCCTAGGATTTCAAAGAGGTGTATTGGTAGATTGTTTTTTTTTGTGTGTTTTCGTATTTGAGATAGTCTGTTAAAATATGTGATTTAGATTCCGTACTTCCACATGTATTACAAACTGGAAGCTCTTCTTTTGCCATCAAGAAATCAAAGAATATTTTAGACAACGAAACTAGTATGGCTGTTTCTTATTTATATATTTTAAAATCAATGGTACTAGGTAATAATAACCAAATAATACAGTAAATCCATGCACAGTTTATTATCAATAGGTGTGGAACGAAGAAAGAACATCTGTAGTATTCTGTTATTCTATTAATATTATTTGTAATTTATAAATATCTAAAGTATAAAGACAAAATTAGTTATTTTTGTTTTGTAAAGAATCTTTTGTATGTATAATTTTAAAAAAGTAAGCTTATTTTTTCGAAACATGATTAGGTATTATAATGTAATAATAGTCATATGATTATGATTTTTGTTAATAAAATAATATAAATAAATGCATTAATGTATTGTTGTTTTACAAAATTATCATATAACTCTGTTTTATTGGACTTATGATGAAACACTCAATTTGAAACACTCAATAATTTATATGTAAGTAAATTTCTAAAGACGGCAATCATTATAGGTATTGACCATTTTAAAATCTATGAAATAAATAATTATATTTATAGAATTTTTCCTTTCGTTAAGGTTAAGCTAAAACTGATTTGTGTGTGATTGAAATATTTAATATTGTACAGGCTTTTCATAATAAATTACAATTATGCGTGCATAATTAATATGAACAACGAGGATTTATTGTATAGTATAATATGCTTCTTGTATTCTAAATACCAAATAATCAATAATACGGTAAGGTGTATGAATTAGTATTTCGTAAAAATTCAAATAAATATATTATTAAATGTCACACATTATACGACATAAGTAATGAACTGAGTCTATAAATTGATTATGATATCGTACTCTATTAAGTTTTAACCAACTCTTATTGTAGGTAACATAAATAAAAATAAATGAATACTCGAGAAAATTAAGAATAGTATAATATGTAAAGAATAAATAGAAAAAATTACTACGTTTAGGTTGCAAAAAAATTAATTTTCAAAAAATGTGACAATATTACATCGTTCTAGAGAATTTAATATTCATGATTAATGATTTTGTATCTTTGGTGTAGCTTTCACTTTAAATGGTTGGTGTAGAATGTACAAATGAAATGTTACCATGAGTAACGATAGAGATACCTATTATACAACTTCTAAATATTGATTTCCTTAAACACTTGTTTAAAGACAATTTAAATTTTACTCTAGAAAAGTAAAGTTTTGTATACAGTTTTATTTTTTTTTGCTTTGTTATATGTTTATTACTTAAAAAAATAATATTTAAAAATAAAAAAACAGAAAAGAAGAATCCTATTCCAGAGGTAAATTTTATAAATACTCGTAGTAATAAAATGTTGCTTTTAGTTTTTAATTACTATTAAAATGTTAATTAAATACGTCATTAAAACTATCCCCTGCCATGCCGTTCAAATGTCATAGGCATGTATTTATGAAGCAACACATGAACCATAGACTCCTTCCACTATGTAAACAGCTTTTATTGATCCGGTATTTCCTTTGAAAAAAAGGCATTTTAGTTATTCATTGTGTGTTTATTTTTCGTAAAATAAATATGACATTAACATAACCTATATAGTATTACAGTGTTGTGGATATGGAATATACTTGGTCGCACGAGCAATGTAGTTTAGCGCTTTAATAATTAATTTACTGAATTGTATTATTGTTAATTAAAAAAAAAAAAAAAAAAAATGATGAATTATTCAGCATAGTAGTATATATTATGAATATTTCTAAATGTCTAACATTTACAGTAGATAACAAATAAATAAATAAAATAAATATAAATACTCTACTAAATAAACAATAAATATTAATTTATTATATTCTTTTTAGATTCTGAGTGTAGTTTTGAATGGTTTTTTTTTTTTTAATCATCACCTCTTTGGACAGTAAAAATGTTTCGAATTTCAACTTTTGGGGTAAAAAGTGAAAATTTTCCGGTACTAACCTTCGAGAAAAAAACAAATAAGGAATTGAGGGTAAATGGGAATTTTCACACTAAACCAAATTTTGAATAAATTTTATTTTCTTAAATGTATTACCATAGAAATTTGAAATGTCCATCAAGTTATCATGTTATCATTTTCTATAAATGGTATCATTTTCAAAATATTTTGAATTTTTGGGCTATTCATAGATAACTGACATTTTCAATTTTTTTAGTTTTCTTTATAAATTCCATTATAAAAATTAAGATGCATTTTTTCATTAACATAAAAATCAATAATGGATAAAAATACTTGAAAAATGAATACAAGATTATTAATATATTGTTCATTGCCTGATTAAAAAATATCAAAAATGTATAGTAACAATATTGTTTATAAGAATTTTTTAAAGTTGAATTTTGGAAAAATTACAAATCATTTTGTACTAGGAAATTAATAAGCAAATTTCTATTTATACATAAAATTAAAAAATTTAATACAAGGTTCTTTATAAGTTTTTCAATTTATATTAAAAAAAAAAAAAAATACTAGAAAGTAATTCATTTATCATGAAAATTTGAGCTTAAATTTTTATGACTCTTGATAATCATTCATAATTATCACTTCTTCTTGAACGATTTTTGATTTTTATTGTAATTCAAAAACAAATAACCACATGTCCTTAACATTTTCACAACATTTTAATATCATCATTTTGTATACATAATATATACATAATATATCTAATATATACATAAATATTTATAGACATTTGAAATTTTTATTTTTTTTTTTTTTTTATAAATGTTGATAATTTTTGTCTGGATAAAAATGGATGAAAATTATTTAATATTGATTCCTCTTAAGTCATCCTTATATTTGTATGAATTTATCAAGAATACAGAAGCAAATTTTTTTATATGCATTCGAAGTTAAATTTTTTACAAAATTCGTCAAATTCGTAAATTTTACAAGCTTTAAGTGTTTTATAATAAAATAGTATATTAAAAAACTACTATTAATACTCGTATAGTCTTATAACTTATAAGTCTATTAAAGTATAAAAAATTAATATTTGAAATTTAAAAATCAAAATTTGATGTACCTTACACCTAAAATAAAAGAGAAGATTTTTAAAATTATTTTTATGTTTTGTCGTCTATATTAAAATGCAAAAACAGAATTCAGAAATATTCAATAGAGAGGAGTATAAATAACTACTGTTTCCAAACATATAAAACATTTCATATATCGTTTTATGGTTAAATAAAACGTTACTGACTTTACTTACAGTCTGAATATATACAAGTATACAACTATAAATTACTATATGTTAGAGCCACGGTATCACAAATCTATATTATTATTTGTTATCATTATTGATAATTGCATACTCAATATCTTAGCAAGAATAAATGCAATCTATCTAGTAATAATAAACTGGGCTGTCAGATCATCTCAGCTCAAAATAAATTTTCATATGCAATAATATATTATTGAATTCAAATTTAACTCAACAATTACTGTGCTCATTATTTACAGCAGATCGGTACCCATTTACTTACCTTTTTTAGTAATGGCATTTAAGTAGGTATTAGTTACGTTAAAATCGAGTATATGCATAATTTTACTTTAGGGTAGAGTGATAAAAATAATGAGCACCACAAGTACAAACGTATTATAAATATATTTTGTGAGATCAGAAAATAACCACATTTTATAGGTATACTAGAAAATTATAATTAGCTTACATTTTTTTATATTTATATCGTGAACACAATAATATAGCTTAGTATTTTGTTTGTTAGTTAGTTAAGTTTTTTTATTTTTTTTGACAAAATTCATTAATAAGAAAAAATGATCAAGCCATTTATATGTAATATTATAAATAATAATGTAAAAATATTCTTTCGGATGAAATTGTCTATCAAACACATATATAAAAAACTATAAAAGATTTAAGTTAAGCAAATTAAAGTTAAATAATGCTTAACTTACATTTTAAAAACTTCATATATATTGCATTGAGTACCTAGCTGGAATTTCGTGACCATTCTCAACTTATTCTATAAATAAATATTGTGTTGAAATATTTAGTGTATCAATAATTACTACTTAATGTATTTAATTTTAATATCCTACATTAGTTAATTTAATAAATATGTGTCATATCAAACATGGTATTTTTACTACTAGGTAATTGTAATTTTTACAATAAACCTAAAAATTGTAATTACGTTGATTTTGTAATACCATAGGTCAGATTAGATTAAAAAATCGTTTTAATAGTTTTAAATATATGCTAAAAGGCAATAGTTAACAGATGACAATTTAGTACAACTGCCAATACTAATGTAGAATTAAATTTTTTGTATGATTTTTATTAATTTAATACGTAATATGTATATTACATTTACGTATATGCATTTGTACATTTTAACTTTACTACACCTATATAATGATGTATTACTATTCATCATTTGACAACAATAACTCTGAGTATGTTGATAGGAATTGGTATATATTTAATCAACCAATATTTATGGCTTTCTTAACAATCCAATTTATTGAGTGTAGTTACACATATAGTTACAAGGCTATTAAAGTCATGTAGTGGAAATTGACTTGGACGATCATTATTTTTCTTCTAGCTTAAAAATAACTGAAAAGATGTGACCCGCTTTAGACTTCCAGTAGATTTTCTACTTAATAACATTACTATACAGATTGTAAAATTATCTATTAAAAGAAACATTTATAGAAAATATATATGGTTCATTAAGAAATAACATAGTGCTACATGAAACTTATTAAACCTTTTTCAATATAAAGTCGATTTTTCTAAACGTGACATTTATTTAGATAAACATGAAAAACATTTTTTATAGCCGATTAATTGATTTAATATTATTTATATTAAATAATATTGAATATTACTTAATTATGTTTAATATTACAATGCTATTTTATATCTACTATAATATACTAAACTGTTCTAGTTTCGTTATCAGCGTTAATAAATTCGTATTTTTTATTCAAAAAATATTATGTAATTGTTATATATATTAATTGTATTATTGTAATATATTATTACATTGAAGTAAAAAATACCCGTTATATCTTGAGCCAAGATTATTGGTTATATGGAGATAATGTATGCACAAATAACGTCTTATTAAGACCAAAAAAAGGTGGATAAATGCCAATTGGGTATAGTTCTGTATAATAAGAGTTGAGTAGGTCAGTGTAATAAATGTGTGAATTGGAGTCAAAATATTTTGAAAAGTTTATCATGTATAGAAAATGCTAATATAATGTGTCTTAAGCCAAGTATAACTTAATTGCTTAAAAACGAAGCAATGATAATTTTTGATATTTTATGTTATTATGTTTAGTGGGTTCAGTGTTATACTATAGAAATATTCATATGGGTGCATTATATCCATAATATGTTATGGGATTATTTTACTAAAATTTTCGTTGGACTTTTCAAACTTAAAACTATCCTTTATGCGTAAATACGAAGCACAATAAATTCAATAAATTCTAATTTGTGAATAACAGACGTAGAAACATATAAAACTATTGAAACTGTATTTCTACAAGGAACTTGTGAATAATATAGGTGGCATCCAACCTTGACGCGGCACTTAACGCATAACCCTCGAGAAACGGGTGTGGCACGTGCCGGATCCGGAGAAAATCAAGACTCGTTTCATCACTACACTACACTAAATAATACGAGCGGTGATGTGAACAATAATTGGTTATATACGTATCAAGATTGACTATGAAAATTTCATCGCACTACAAACATTAATACTTCACACGTGTAGACGCGAAATACGAAGAAAAAACGTGGAAACTTTGTGATTGGAAATTAGTCAGCAGTGATGGACGCAGAGAAAAACGGCCATAACTACTCACAACAATTGCATAAAGCTAATAACGTACAGAAAACATCGTATTTACCCGCTTGCCTCGATTATAAGTACCGAGAACAATATGGTTAGCGGTCACCTCGTCTGCACTTATTCTGTCTAACTGCGTAGATTTGAAACTTCACTAGATTTGGCCGACATAAATACTTCGATGACAACTATAAAACGCGTCCACGAATTCCATAATGAAGTTTTATAAATCCCTCATGGTCTGTGTATACAGTAGTAATGTCAGTTGCAAAAACCTCCGTTAACACAGTACACGGTGAGTAGTTAACTGTGATATTTTTCATTTATCACATAGAAATACAAAATAACCAAATATTCGACTGCTCATTACGTACCCATAACATTGTTGAAGTCGTATGCGCATTTGCTAATAAGGTAATGTTTACCTAATTCCACCACGATCTCGTAGATAAGATACCTATATAAAATGTAAAATAATACAATTGTAAACATTTTCTGTTGGCATAATAGGTAGGTACTAAATTAGATTTTAGAAAGTCATGGGTTAGAATAATGAGTCTTAGAAAAGATGTGCTTTAGAATATACTTAGAATATAATGTATTTTTAAAAATATTTATTTTGTATGCTGCATATTCGTATATACTTTTATTTATAATTAAAATTTATCCATTTACTACTAATAAAACGTAATTATTATGATAATTTATATTATTATAAATAATAGCAATAGTTTTCAAAAATTCATCTAAATCATAATTCGAATTATTAAATATTCTTTAACAGCTGATTTAAAACAAATAATTATTCTGTGTTTCATTTTTGTGTCTTTTTAATATTCTATTTGAAATAAATGAATGTATACCATGACATGTTAATAAACTATGTAGTATTTTGATATACCTGTCAACCTTCTGTAGAATAGGACATTCAGGGCATTTCATTGACAGTTCTATATTATGAACTTACCACGTTTTAATTGAGAAACAGGGTTCGTAATGCGTTGCTTCGACTGTTGTCAATGCCAAAACCTTACCGAATAAATTGAAAATCGATAAACGTTATCAACTATATTAACCTTTTTCTGTTCAAAATTGGTTATTATTTTCAAATTATAAAAAATATATAATGATACATATTGGTACATATTTAACATAGCTTTCCGAAAACTTTCCATTCTAAAATTTAGCATTCTGAAATTTGATTTTCTAAACGTACTCCCAATTAATTTGCATATGGTTGCCGATTTCAATAAGATTAAAATAATCGGCTATCTAATTGTTTAATTATATATTTATAGCTGATCACCATTAATTATTGTCGCCGTCCGTTTTCTCAGTGTTTGTTTGATTCATAATGTTTTTTGTTTAAATCATTTTCACGTCGCCATTTGTGAGTGTATATAATAGTATAATACTGTATAATGTTGTGCAGTATAAATGTGATGACATTTTGGTGATATAAGTGTTGAACGAACTTCTAAATCAATTTCAAAACCGTAGCAGCTCATAAAGAAATATACACTGAGTGGCTAAGCACATCAATCATAGTTACTTATTTATATTTTCCTTGTAGGAATAGGTGTAGCATCAACTCATACAAGTATACAACGCTACGAAGCGTATTTAAAATTTAATGTTTATACTTACGCAATTATGTACAATGTGTTGTGTATATAAGATTGGTAAATCAAAGTAAAATCTTAGTAAATACGAGTAGTCACGTACTCACGTGACTTATAAATATTAAGTGTTTCAGTGCTTTATATTGTATGCGACAGGCGCGTATATAAAGGGGGTTCTAGGGGTTCGACCCCCCCCCCCCACCTACAATCAAAATATTTTCAGGAAATAAGTTTTATTATTTATTATTTTAGTTTTATTTAATTGTCCATATTGCCATCTTAATATGAATTATATTTTCGTTTAACGTTCGATCATTATCTACAATCATCAATCGGACCACTACAAAACCACATCAAAATAAATATAGATTTTAAATGTAACTCCAATGCAAGCCAATATAATTTTTATTACAATAACAACGATTAATAAAGTTTAACAGAAGTGTCAATGTAATAAAGATAGTATAATATCTGAAATGTCTTTTGTCAATTTAGTATATATTATGTTTGACACTCATCTTGTCGTCTTTGACCTTAAACATATATTTGGTGTTTGCAAGTTTAAGTATCAGTTTTAATACGCGATAAAACTTTATAAAAATGAAAAGAAATAATTCTAATCAATCGAAATTATTAAAATTTAGTATCAAAAAATTAAAATAGATTTAATAACTGCACCAGATAGCAATACAACTGTAAATACCGCAGAAAACGAAAGGTTAGTTTCTTCCTTGGTTTCGTCATCAGAGGAATTATTCAATAGTGACAATCAAGACATAAGTTTCTATTTAAATAACAATACAATTGATGGTGCTAAAAATTATAAATTGTTAAAGCACCCATGGATTCTACCTAATAATTATGAGTTTCCTATTTCTCAAAACTGACGTTTAAAATTTCAAACTGATTGGTTTAGACGCTATGTGTGGTTAGTTTATTCCAAACATGTAGAAAGTGTATTATGTAAAGTTTGCATATTGTGTTCGAATGTTTTTGTTGGTAAAGGTTCACATCAAAAATTAGGAGCTCTAATTAAAGTACCTTTTACAAAATAGAAAGACGCAATCGAGCGTTTTAACCAACATTCAAAAAGTTAATAATACCATAAATTATCCACTATGCGAGCTGATGATTTTATAAAAATAATGGACAATAAAAAAATTCTATCTAAAATAAAATTGATTCTTCATGTAAAAAACAAGTGTTGGAAACCGAACTAAACTTTTTTCTATTATAGAAACAATAATATTATGTGGTCAACAAACATCGCTTTGAAGGGTCATCGTGACGCGGATCACATATATGACAATTATTCTGAAGTAAATGACGGTAATTTTCGATTGTTATTAAGATTTAAAGCGTAAACAGATTCTATATTGAAAAACTATCTATAAAATTCAACTACATTTGCTTCTTATACAAGTCCTAAAATTCAAAATACATTAATACAAATATGCGGGGAATTAATTCAAGAAAATTTATGCGCGTTATGTTGATATCTCAACAAATTGTATTCAGGAAGACTTTCTTGAGATTGTGGTAGCCGAAAATTTGACTGGTGAACGTCAAGAGAGTACCTATAACTCATTTCAAAGAGTTTTATTTAAGCATTTACTATGCATTAAAAGAATTGGAGAGTAATTCTTATATATTGAAAATTCAAAAGCTGCATTTCAATTATCTAGTGTAGTGGTTCCCAACCTCTCCTATTCAACACCCCCTTTGTAGATTTTCAAAAGTCTCGCCCCCTCTTATAAATTGTAAAAAAATGATATTTTTTCTTTAAGTTTTAAAATAAAAATAATTTAATCAATAAAAATTGTACTTCGTAATAACTGCTTGCGCCTCCCCAGCAATGTGTACACGTCCCCCCCAGTTTTGGAACCAGTGATCTAGTGCCATTAGCGCTTCAAATTTTGTAATTTCTTTACACGTGATTGAAAAGATATTTTCTCTAACCTTACCCCTATGTATAGCATTACAAAAAGTTAATATCGATTTTTCTTATTGTTATGAATGAGTTAATGACGTACGTACAATTTTAATTGAAAAGAGGAGTAATTCAGATGAGAGTTTTAAAAATATTTTTTCTGATTGCGAAAAAGCAATGCTTGAAGATGATATTATGTTGCCCAGAACAGTAGGTTAGCAAACTTATCGAGATAACTCGCCAGCCGATTCATCAGAACTGCAATATTATAAACGTACTATTTTTTAGCCATTATTGGATCATTTTATTCTTCAACAAGAAGAAAGGTTTTCCAAACATCATCGTGTAATTTTCACTTTACAATCATTAATTCCTAAGTACATAACTCAAAATACTTCATACAAGTATTTAAACAAATTTACGGAATATGTACTGTTTTACAAACCTTTATTACCTAATTTTGATATGCTTAATACTGAGATTAAAATCTAGCAAACACAGTGGCAAAATATATCTGTTGATGATCGTTCAAAATGTTCATTAACTACCTTAAGTCAAATTTCTGGTGATTTTATCCGAATATAAAGTGCCTTATAACAATATTAGCTACTTTGTCTGTAACGACTGTTACTGCAGAGCGTTTATTTTCAACATTGCGGAAACTGAAAACCTATTTAAGAAATAATATTGGACAAGACCGGCTAATAGGATTAGCGCTCATGAATATTTATAGAAATGACAAAATTAATATTGACGAAGTCATCAACAGATTGCAAGACTACCTCGAAAATTAGATTTTGTACTATAAAAATACACGTTTTTAAAGATTATTCAATTTTTTTTTTAATAATGACGTTTTTATGAGAAATAAATAGTACTATAATTGAAATTGTGTAAGCTTCTTGTCAGGTTATAGGTTAGATTATATTATATACGAAAATGTATATTATGTATAAATCATGTACGAAAATGTACAACTAACCCCTCCCCCCAAAATTTTTTTTTGTATACGCACCTGGTATGCATTAACATTTTACACTATTTCGATCATAAATACACGTATTTGCGTATATCTACTAAAGATATCTAGATTTCCAATGTAATTTTTTTTTTATATGATTGAGAGTGGACGACAACGGTATAAATATATAAATATAAATGTATAATAAGTTGTTGGTGTATTTGAAGCTCAATAAACTGAGTATTTAAAAATTTATCTCAAAATGCATACTGACACACGTAACTTAAAATGATATCCACTCCTTTTATAGCCATACACAAACACACTCATTACAGTATGTCAATAGTATTTTTTTCAATGGATTTCAGATTTAAATTTTAATACTTTGGTCTTTGATCGCATAGGTAATTATAATAAAAATACCTTCAAAGAATAGCTATTTTTTAAAGTAATAATAGAGATCTTTTTGTGGATAATCTATAATTATATAATTTCTTGGACTTCAATATCTCTATATATATTTAGTACAACACTACAGCCAAACAAGTCAATCTTTTAATAATTATTATTTTATTAACAATAATTGTAATTGTAGCATCAGAAACGCACATAACATTATGACAGATAATAATAAATATTTTAATAATGTAATAGCGGTAGGTAAGTACTAGTTGGCCACAATATTGTGGTTAAATGGTTAACGCATATCGTATATTTAATAGTTATTACCTACTATATTGGATAATGAGATGAAATAGCAACTATTCGTATCATTACTTTTA